GTGCGAAAGGAATAAAAAGGGTAGGGCAGACAAAACATAATAATTTTTGTCAAGTATTATAGTTTTTTTATTTGTAGTTCAATTTTTTCAAACAACATATCAAAATTCACATTTTTTTTATTATATTTCATATGATAGCAATATTACATATATATAGTTTTAACAACATTTGAACTTTCAATTGTACGAGCTTCTTAGACGCAATTGTTTTTAATTAAATTCAAGTGTTAAAATTAAATTCTCATTAAGAAATAAAAGTGACAAGAAATGAGTTGTAGATGTAGAACTTTAATTTGTTAAACTTCGAATATAAGTCTCTATCCCCATTTCACTCTCCACTATTATCCATTCAACCCTTACACACTATACTCATTCAACCCTCTACACATTCAACTCATTCAACCCTTACACACTATACTCATTCAACCCTCTACACATTCAACCCATTCAACCCTTACACACTATACTCATTCAACCCTCTACACATTCAACCCATTCAACCCTCTACACATTCTACACATTCTACCTTCTACATTAACTCATTCAACCATGTACAAATTCTACCCATTTAACCATATACAAAAATTAAAAAAATTAAAATTTTAATTGTTAAATGTTTTTAAACACAAAACTTTTCTTAAATAATTTAAGAGGTAAAATCATTTCTTATGATTACTTTTTTAAAATCTTTCAGTTATTGATTTTAAAAAATAGGTATGAATTAACAACAATAAAAATTAAACTCAGAATTTTAAGAAAAGAAATAAGGAAAGAGAAAAATACCTAGAACAAATTTTAGGTGATTTTATTATGCGTCTTCATCATGGTTCTTCATCATTGTTCAAGTTTTTTTCGGTATGAAGAGAACCCAGAAATCAAAGAAGATGAGAATCCAAATAAACTTATTTTTTCCTCCCAAAAATAAAAAAATTCATCTCAATTACACAAAATCCACTAAAACTGTTCTGGAAAAGCTAAAAAAAGATGAATGAAGAATCTGGAATTTCATATTCAGATCTATTACGGATGGGAGCTGGAGCAACCGACCGGAGCCATCCACGTCCAGCTGTGTGTCATGGACTTAAGCTTGTTGTCCACTGAAACTCCCTACACCATCTCCAGATCTCGCCGCCGTAGAGCTACCACCGTGAGTTGAATTTGCCGTCGCTGCTCCAGGTACGGAAGTTGCGGCCATTAATGGCCGCCTTAGAGCTTGTGAGAGAGACAAACTAGTCAGAGTACGGGCCTTACTACCTCCGTTGCAGCACCTACTGCCTTGCTCTTGGTCGCCCTCGCATCTCAACGAACTGTTATAGCAGCTCGATGGTCATCGTCCGCCATTAATGGCTGCCTGAGAGCTCTCGGCTCACAACCCAGGCAACAGCAACTTCGAGGGTTTCATCTTCCTCAGACACAAAAAACAAATCTGCCAAAATCAAACTGGATTTAATCGCCTCTTCGTCGGCACTAGACGGCGGCCATCAGACGGTGATTAATTCCTCACGGCCACTGAGATTTCATCTTTGGAAGGGACGACACGATGTATTGCCTCCAAGATGCAGCTCATGTCAAAAATCAGCGGACCAAATGAGAAAGATAACTTCATAAAAATTAAATTCTAAGTATTTTCATAGCAAAAAAAAATCTAAACAATTTGAAGTTCTACTAGAATGGTCTGCGGAAAAGTTGCAGGGAAATGTAAGATAGAAGAAGAAAGAGAAAATGGAAGATAATTGATTTGACATAAATGAAAAAATAAGGTAAAGTGAAAAAATATAGTAATTGCTTAGATAACCCTGGATTTAAATGTAAATGCCATTGTGGAAAAACTAAAGATGACATGGTTAATGAGTACAAATGGAGCAATCTCAGTTGGCCACCTCACAAGATACACTGGTGTAGGTTTTCAGCAACCCACACCGAATGAATCGCCATTTCAAAATAACGGTGTGGAGCCCAAAATTAGTCAAAATGAAGATTTCAATCATAAACAGCTCAAGTCCACATTGATTAACCAAAACTCTAGGGGAGGGATTAAAAGTCAATGAGGTTTTTTCTAGCGTCATTTGACAAACAACCAACGCTATTTTAGGGTTGTCCCCTAATGTAAAAAGGGTAAGAGTTGTTCCTAACCCATCCACTACTCTGCCACTATAAATACGAAAAGGAAGCCCTCTCTTCTTCTCATCTCCCCTGCCGTTAAATTCAAATTCCATCCCACTGACTCTGTACCTCACTCTGTTCTTCGTACCATTTTTTGACTTCCGCCGGGAGAATCATAGAACAGAATATACTAATAATGACGACCCCCACGCCATCAAGAAGGCTGAAATGGCGGCACCCCTCGCCGCCTCCGCCGCCCCACAGCCCCAAAATCATCCACTTGCCAAGAAGGCCCCGCCGGAAAAGCCCCAAACCCACCGCCAAGAAACTCCCTTTCTACGCCGAGCAGAAACGGCTCCGCCACTCGCTGGCACCCGTGGAGCTTCACAACGGGTACTACCCGGAGCACCTGGAGAACTTCTTAGTCGACGGGGGAGAGCTCTCGGCTTCCGGCGATGTCCCCATTGTGGTTCTGAACTCTGTTTCGTCCACCGAAAAAACAGAGAGAATCGACCGCGGCGATGGCGAAGCGGCCATGTTTCAGGCGGCGTGTGATTTTCTGAGGATGGAGAGAGAGTTTGCTCTGAAGAAGCTTGAGAGAAACAGAGCACAAACGGACACTACTCTGAAATTGGCCGTTCAGACTCTAGTTAGCTCCCACCCAATCTATGTTTTTCTTTTGTTTGATATTTTTATCCATTTCTGTTGGGAGTAATTGGGGTTTCTGAAATTGAAATGTGGGATATGTAGGGAAAGAAGGAAGCGTTTGTGGGAAAGGAGGTGGAGGCCATTGGAGAGGAAGAGATTGAGGATTTGGGTGAGAAGGTGGAGGAGCTGAAAAAGAGCTCCAAGAAGAACAGGGATTTGGAGAAGAAGAAGTGCAGTGACTTTGATAAGCAAACTTCTCTGTTGCAGAAAAGGATTCTGGAAAAGCTCAGTGGATCCTCCTGTGAAAGATGTCAACAGGATGATCTCTCTGAAACAAACTCCATGATCAGTAATGGCACCCAAACTCACAATGAGTCTCTTGATCAATCAACAAATGTAAGAAATCTTAAAATTACACTTTTCTTTCATGCTTAAACTTCAGTTTGCTGATAAGTGTTAAACTTCTCTATCATCCCATATTTTTAGCATGCCTCCTTTATTCTAAAATCTTAGTCCTTCCATGAGTTCCATCCCATAAAAAAGTTTTGATTTGACTGTAGTTTAATGTGTGTTTGGAGCTAAAAAAATCATTTTCAGTGTTAAATAATTTTTAGGCTTTAGTAACTCAAAAATTCTAAAAAACTGAAGTAGTACTAAGGGAGTGTTTGCAAGCTCTAAACAAAAGTGCTTTTGACTTTTTTTGTAATGAAAAGCAAAAAATGGTGTTTGTAGACCCAACTTTTAGATTAAATTAAAGCACTTATAAGTCAAAAGTTAAAAGCATGCTTGGGGGTGCTTTTATCAGCTTATTGGTATTTATGTAAATACTCCCAACTTTGGGTATTGTTATTAGATCAAATATTTTACTAAACCAAAACTACCCTCCTCTCCCCTGATTTCCTGCGGCCTGTCAGACCATGCTGCCTCATGGGCTCATGGCCGAATGGCTCTCGTGTAGTAAATGGAGATGGCAAAGGCATTTTTGTCATTAACCAAATATTACATAAAAAATCACTTTTTTCCCACACTCCAACTTTTACCTTTAAATTAAAGTTACTTCTATTCTCAAACACTACCAACTTTTACTATCATTTTTCAATAATCTCTTTAAAAAATCACTTTTAAAAAGCACAAGCAATCGCAAACACTCCCTAAAACGTTTTGTAGCTTCCAAAAGCTATTTTACCAAACATAGAATTAAGAGTCTTTGGAACTTTTATATACTCCCTCCGTCCCATTTATTTTGTCCCGTTTTACCTTTTCGGGAAGTCCCACTTATATTGTCCCATACCATATTTGGCAAAGTTTGTGTGACTCTAAATCATTCTTACTTTATTCTTACTTTATCAATTAATATCAACCACACAAACCCACTTTTCTTAATAACTGTGTCACCCTCTTCCGGGACAATATAAATGGGACGGAGGGAGTATTGTTTTGTATAAGAGTTTGAAGACTACGACTTTCTACAAAATATGCACTTACAGAAATTACATTTTTTAAATGCTTTGTAATCTAAAAGTAATTATTACCACAGAGTACATTGTTAAAAATATGTTTAAATTTGAATATCTTATTATTTAGAGTAATATAGTAAATCGATAAGACTTTCTTTATCATATTAGGATAGATGAACCTATTTAGAACCATGCTTGGTGTACACATATTTTGTACACTTTTTGTGTAAACCCCTTTAATTGTCTGTCTAGAAGACAACTTCTAAACGAATTGCATGTGTAGAAAAGACAATTAGGAGAGATGTATACAAGATATGTGCATTAACAACATTTATAACCTATTTATGGACATCCTAAAAAGAAATGCAAGAACTTTGAATAAGGAAGAGTCGTACTGAAACGATAATGAAAGCAAAAATATAATTAAATTTTGGATGAAGGGTCAAATAGGCCCTTGAACTGACTTAAAATGTTCAATTAGCCTTATATAGGAGGTTCTGCCCGGCCGTCGCTAATTGGGGCGGTTCCCGGTGGAATTTTTTGATGAAATTTTTTGAGCATCTTCTTCATTAAGTCTAGTTTACTCATACCAAATTTCAGTTTAACATTCAACCGGGAAGGCAGTCAAATGATTTTTTGAAGATAACTGCGGAGTTAAACAGTGCAGTACATTTCGGAAAATCATTTGACTCTCTTCTCGGTTGAATTTTTAGGGGCTAATTGAACACTTTAAGTCAGTTCAAGGGCCCATTTGACCCTTTAGCCTTAAATTTTTCACTTTCACCCTAACAATTATTTGTTATTTAAGTTTTTTATTACAAAAAAGGACAAATATATTACTGAAATAAAGATAGTGGACAAAAATATGACTTAGTGACTACTAAATATACTATAGTGACTATGATTGTGTTGAACTCTATCACTATAGTGACTATGCATAGTAACTATAATAATATTTTTGTCCGATTATTATATTTCAGTAATATTTATGGAAAATCCTCTTTTTGTTACTCTACCAAAAATAAAATACTTTCTTTCATTTTTTCTATTTCCACGAAATTAAATATCATCTTGCTGATATTTTTTCACTTTTTTCACTTTTCTAAACTAATTTCGACCACATTATATTTACTTTAATAAAAACTTCCAAAGTCAGAACACTAAGTCAAATAAGGATATTGAAATTAGTATTAAGAACCTCTCTCTTTTTGCGGGATGGAGAAGTGCCCGTTTGGATTCACCTTTTAAAAAGTCAAATGATTTTTGAAGCATCAAAACAGTTTCTCATTTTTGAATTCTAGTTTTGTCAAACACATTGTTTTGTTGCTTTTACCTTTTCTAACTCACTATGGGAGCAATAAGCTAATTCTTATACTCCCTCCGTCCCAAAATGGTTGGCCAAATTTCCTTTTTTGGCCGTCCAAAAAAGGTTGGCCATTTCCATTTAAAGTAAGGAATATGTGGTTAAAGTTAATTCTCTCTCCTCTGCACAAATTTCAACCACACAGTTTTTACTTTATTAATCCACGTGCAAGTCAACATTGGCCAACCATTTTGGGACGGAGGGAGTATCAACCAACAAACTTTCATTTTTCTGAAAAGTTTTTTTAAAAAATGCCCAAACTCAAAACTGTTGATATCCAATCACGTTTTACCAAACTATGCTCAGATGATTATATGAAGTAATGTTACAAGGCATATTAATGAATTTTTATTTGATGTGAAAATTGAAAAGGTAATTGAGAGTGAGTTATCAAAGACAATGGAAGGAGAGTCAAATTGCATGTTAGACAGAAGGGAGGCAGAAGAATATGGAGCAATAAACTCAATCACTGCCAATAGCTCTGTTCCCAGTTCACCACCTTCAACTTCCAAGCAAATTGAAAACTGTTCAGTGCCATCTGCTTTTTCCCCTCAACAACCACATCAGGTAAAGTTCTTTTGCCTTTAAGGCTATATTTGAATCCCAAAAATGCTAGAAAAGGGTAAAAGTAAAAAAAAAATATTGATTTTTTTCTTGTGTTTGACTTTAATTTGGAAACACAAAGAAAAATGAAGCATGTATGACCAAGGTTTCAATTTTTAGCATTGGTTTAGTTTTTTATATAATTTGCTAGAAATAAACTAAAAAATGAATTTAAATAAACAATAAACGTACACTTTTTAAATTTGAACTAGTAATTTTTTTTTCGAACAATTTTTTTCTTCCATTTTTGTCCTTATCAAAAGGAATATAAATGTCAACTTCATTTATGTCCAACTTTTCGGAGTAGTTGATTGGGTTGTTAACTAAATGCACGTGTCATTCTTTTTAAAAAAGTGTTCCTAAACATCCCATTCTTTTATGCTGTGGTCTGGGGCACTTTAGCCTTCATTTAATTAATGTCTGAAAAGTGCACCCATAGACCAATCTTTAAAAATCTAGCCCAGCCATTATGAATTTATGATGAACAAATTGAAGTCTCGACACTTCCTACCGTAAAAAAAAAGTGCATTTTTCAGTTTGATTTGGTTACTTTAATTACTAAGTATTAATTATTTCAAAAGTATACTAGTACTACTTTTTGACACTAAAATTTAATAAACTTCATATATGTTATTGACATGTTTTTTTGGTAAAAATGTTATTGACATGTTATTGGTAGTTCATGTTTGTTTTGAAATCTGTTAAAGCAAAAGTGTAAATTTGGATGTTTTTGACATGTTTTTATTCACGGTTAGAATGACCAGAACAACATTAACAAACCAGATTAGATCAAATTAGATCAAACTTTGACATTTGTAAAACATATATAAACTTGATTCTGCTTTTGTTTATTTTATAAAAACAAAAACATAATCAAAATGAGTTTTTCAGAAGTTGATCTCCCTAAAATTCTAAAAAACAACTTTTATGAGCAATCTAAAGCATCCAGATGCAATTTGAAGAAGTACTTATACTCTTTCACTAAACACTCCAATATTTATATCATCTACTTTCTAAAGGAGCAGAAACGGTTTTAGGAAATTGATTCAAACAGTCTCATATATTCTTATTCCTTAATGTGTTCTTGCTTTCCTTTTTCAAATACCCCAAATTAAGTTATGGATTCATATTTTGATACGTAGTAATATATCACTTTTGTACTTCTCAACTCATGATATGCGAATGAGACATCATTAATTATAAATTATTTTTGAAAAATGAATAAAAAGTATTTTTATTTGAAACCACGTAAATTCATACAAACTTGAAGGGATTATCAAAGTGGAACTAACCATTTAATTTTATGACAGGTAGGGGAGGAGGAAGGGAAATGTTCGGGGCGTTGCAAAGCGATGGTACGGAAGATCATAGAGCAAGTGAAAGAGGAGTCGGAGCAATGGTCCGAAATGCAGGAGATGCTGGGTCGGGTCAGGGATGAGATGCACCAACTCCATGCTTCTCGCCATTTCTGGGAACTCCGATCTCAACGATCTTCTCGCCACATCCAATCTCTCCGCTTCGCCGTATGCCTTTCCTTTCCTCATCCATTTGTTTCCTTCATCCATAGATTCACAATATATAATTATAAATAAGGATGCATTTACTTGTTCTTATTTCAATCCCAATTCATATCAAACCAATTCAAAAATAAGATTATCGCATTAGAACAGACTAGACTAGAACATTTCGGTCCAATTAAATAACTCTTAAGGGAGGCCGGTTCTATATACAGCCTCGGTTTTACTAACTGCAGCCTACAAATTAAACATAAATTAATAAAATTATATTAAATATCTAATTTGCCCTCATAGTAATACTACCTACATTAGTTTTTATAATGTGATAAATCCTTCCTTCATCTATCCTACGAGTCACAGCACGCAGGCACAGAACAGACTTTTTTGCACATCTCCGGCGCTATAGATGATAGATCCAGTGAAATTCTGAGATTCTGAGAAGCATATAAACCTCTGACAACAACACGGGATAGAAAGTGAGCGTTCCATTGAGCTTATTCGTGTAGGAGATAGGATTACAAGATTCCTAAACTCCCCCCAACTCTGGCCGGACCACGTCGGTAAATTCATTCTGTAGGAGTTGCAAGCATATAAGTCGAAGATTTCTTGAATTTCTTCGAATCAAAGATTTCTTCAAGGATTCTTAGTCTGGACATTTCCACCGCACCTTCATTTCTTCACCAGTAGCTTCAACACAATGAGTATCGTTAACCTCTGTAACGTGACTGTGTTGGACAATCCGACACCCTTTTTAACCCCTTCACAGTTTGAAATCTCCTACGAGTGCGTAACTCATCTCAAAAACGATTTTGAATGGTAACTTATTGATGTTGGCCGGATCGCCTGATGATGAAATTGAATAATTTATGACCAACTTCCTTAAAGTGTTCTTGGAGACTTCATAAATAACTCCGGCTGAGATATCCAAATTGACCAATTTCATGAGGTTTCATATCTTTTTTGCGATATTCCCTTCAAGACTTCAAATTGATCTGCAAGAAACTTCTCGCAAGATGAATTTGACGTGCCCTGTCTTGATATATCAGACTAGGGGTAAACCAGGTAGTTTAATTCCGCGTGGCTGTGATTAGAAAAAAAGAGGTTGTGTTTAGAATTCCCCAACTCTTAAATGTACATTAAAAGGTTCAGATTAATATTAAGCCCGATCAACTCCCTGGTCCATTCTTACGGACGGTATGGGCATGTGATTGGGTCCATTTGTTGCGGGCCAAGCCACACCACCTATACTTATGGGCAGAAAGTCTAGAAAAAAGTCACATCCAAACCCGTTTTTGTACGGGCCTAGTTGATATACTCTGCAGTATTTAAATTTAGAACCCGTTGGTGACAATAAAATTGACAAAATTAGCTGATTATGTTGAGAAATTCTGGTTGAGGTGGTTGAACTAGTTGATTCTGCTGAATTATGAATAAATTATATTTAAAATATATTTTATAAATAAAATGAAGAAAAAATTATACTACAGAGTACATACTAAGCATGAAAAATAGTTAATATGATTATCTATAGTAACTAATACGTTAGCGTTCGATAAAAACGTTGGTCGGTAAGACTAATAAGCCAAAAAATAAGTCACCAAACGGGCTCTTAGATTTCAGCTATATAAGAAATGTGCTCACACATAATCAACCACAAGTTTCGTCTATCATTAAACATCACTAATAATTCAGAACTAATATAGTCTTAATTTCGACCATATGTTAGAATATTAATTTCAGTAATAGGGATTAGGGAGTACTGAATATGTTCTAACACATGTGACAGGTGGAAGAATGGAAAGAGAGAGCACTTGCCTCCAAAGCTAAAGTTAATGAGCTGGAGATGCAGCTATATGCCGCTCAAGCCAGTCTTAAAAGGTTGAGGACCAGTGAAGGGGCCAGTACTGACAAGAGCAGAGAATCAACAGTAGAATCAACCCACAATTCTCCCAAGATTTCATTATCCAAACAGATTGAGAAAGAAATGGATGTTTTAGAGACAGCTGATGAAGATATGCCTCCCATTTCCTTGGCCAAGCAAATTAAGAAGGAGAAGAAGAAACACATGATGCTATTGAGGCGTCTTACTAAAGGCAATGAAAGAAGAAGAGCAGAGGCGCGTAGCGACGAAAGATCGCCACTTCGAGATGTGGCGAATTCATCAGCATTGTTAGTAAGGCGGAACAACTTAGCGGTGTTCCCGTGGCGTAGTCCTGACCGGATTAAGGCAGGGCATTGCATTTTGAAAGTCTAGCTAGTTCTGTGAATCACTTGTGTAAGTGTGTTAGAAATGAAATCCAAAGTGCAGACATGGGAAGAACTTGAATTGTTCATGCTCTTTCATGGTAACCAGAAATTTGTATTATATTAATTAATCATGTTTGATTGCTCAACAAGCAGTTTAACCATAGGATGACAGCAATCAAACTTCTAGTTGGCTTTTGGTCCATCCATTGAAAGGGTCAAATGAATCTTAGTTCACTTTAAATGATAAAATTTCGCCTGGTGGTTTAGTCAGGAGGAATATAATTTGGATGCAGTTGGTGTAAAGATCTTTGTATACAGATTCGAAATTTCTACCGAATTTAAGATGTGTTAGAAGCTCGTATGCCTCCTAACTATGCCTCGAGCTGGGCTATACTCCGCAACAGATCGAATTGGTAAATAATGGAAGAGAGAATTCCTTATATAGGAGCAAAACATATGAAAAGTGCAAAATAGGAGTGAGTTTGTAAAATTCCTAAAATAGGAGTATTTTTTCTAAATGGACAAAGATGCCCCTCTCATTGCTGCTGCCTGCTGCTACGTACTGTCGCCCACCGGAGTTCGCCGGACTGCCGCTGGAGCTCCGGCAAGGTATAAAAAATCCAATTTTTCCCCATTCCTCCTGCCACCGTCACAGTAGTCGGAGTTCCGCCGCCGTCTCCCACCGCCACCACTGCATTGCCCCCGTTACCAATGCCCTGCCCCTCCACCGACGGACGACGCCCTTATTGCCCAAGGGAACTAGGGGGCAATAATTAATTAGAATAGGGGTTTTCGCCGGTCGTCAGAGCTCCGCCGCCGCCGTCTGCCATGGCCACCACCGGACAACCCCACTACCAACGCCCTGCCCGCCACCGACAGACTACCCTGGTTGCCCGAGGGAACTAGGGGGCAATAAGTAATTAGAATAGGGGGTATTAGGGGTAAGAAATTAATGTTTACTCCTATTTGGGGAAGATTAGTAATTAACTTCTATTTATAGAAACATGTTATGTTTTACTCCTATTGGGAACAATTACTTATAATGGAATGTGACCGAGAGATGACAGTGTTGGAAAAATGTGTTAAATTGCATTAAATGGTAATTTTGGGGCAATATTTTGAGTGGGGTCCACTTCCGATTTGGGTCGGGTCAAAGTGGTTTCGGATTGCCCTTGATAAGGGCTACAATTCGATATGTGGTACGCTCAAAACGAATAACAGGTGAATGAGAAGTTGATTCTCGAAGTTCACTTGTTGAAATGAAAAAACTGGGAAAAAAGATGGGTTTCTAGTGTGATTTATCCCACACTGGAAAACCCAAAGGATTTTGAACCCCTTATAAAGGGAAGTCTCTTTTAAGGAGTTAACATTCCTAAGTGGAAAGGGTCTCTTTGCGCGCAGGGGTTGCGAATCAATTCCCAAAAACGGAGAAGAAAAATCGCGACTTGCGTGCACGAGCAACCTGCGGACATGAATGTTGTTCGAAACTCTATCTTTCAAAGATACAATTTAATTTTTGTTTCTTCCCGTAACGTTTTAATTTTTACAGAACGAACTGCTCGGCCAGAAGACCTTTGAACCAGAAGACATCGTGGTGTTTTGGTCGCTCCAGCACCAGAAGATCTGGTTTTCTGGTCGCGCACCAGACGGTTCTGAATAGTCACGACCTTAAATGCCTAACGTTCTTGTCTTTTAATGCCTCTTAAAATGGATAGTTTTATGACATATTAATGCCCAACATGCTGGTCATTTATGTCCAACGTTCAGATCCGTTAAAGGTCACTTAGCACACAACAAATCCATCAATATATATAGCTGGCAGGTGGTTTGCAACAACACACGTTCACAAACGAACCGACACATTCCTCACGTAGTTTGAGCTCTCAAAAACACCTCCACCATTTCGAAAATATTCTTAGTGTTCACACTTGTGTTTTGTTCGCTGGAACTTTCGTTTGTGTGCTCAACAATAGTTCGTTAGCCATCGTATCCTGGGAAACGGTCGTTGCAATGGTCTCATACGTTTTAAGGAAATCGTGCGTAGCACGAGCTCTGGCTTTTCTGTACCATCTCATTTCTGTTTTCTTTGGCCATTTTATTTATTAATTAATTTTATTAATTAATTTTTCTTACTTTCCGAGACACACCCAACAGACAGACACACCGCTGACCGCTCGTTGTTCTTATTGATTGAATGATACGATGAAGTGCTCGTACTCTGACGACGTGGGCAATTTGTTGTAGGTTGCGAGAAGTCCACTAAACCGATTAGATGTCCACCAAACTAGACATCTAAATATCTAATCAAGGTAGAAGTCTTAGACCAAGGGGACTTGCATAGTTCAGGCACGACACTTCATGTCTCTAAGACATGTATTGCTATACTAAATAGTCCTACAACCATGAAGAAATTGACCCGAAATTGGTCCTTTTAGACAAGTTCGAGAGTGGCATGTCAGAGTTTCGTTGTGCTGCTTAGTTTCCCATTTCCATACTTGTTGCACCATGAGTGCTGGTTCTTTTAACTTTGTCCACCATACATAATAGATTAATAAAGTATACAACACAATTCCATTCTCTCAAACGTTTTCAACCCATCCATGGGCGGGAACTAGGGGAGGGCCATCTTACCTTCTCTGGCTCAGCCCAAATTTTAAAAATGCCTGTATTTTTAGTGTAAAAAAATCCGTGTAAAAAAAATTTCAAAAAATATTTTTTGTATCGGTCCAGTCCGGTCTAGTGCTCTAGCTCCGCCCCTTCACCCATCTTTAAGAAAGTGTTTTCAAAACATATGAATGAATGGCTGAATCCGAAATTCTAATAGACAAAATTAACCAATTAACAGAAACTAAATCGATGAAAACATTATTTAATCAAAATTGAAATTGTAAGCCGTTCATGAATCAATAGCCCACCTACTTTCAAATAAAAAAACTTATAACTCACCTAAACATGACAAATATGGTTTTCACAACTTAATAGGATAATCATTTTTACATTATAATAATAACAAAAAAAGTTTAAATTTATAAAAAAATCGGAAACAACCATAAGTAATAAAATTAAAAAAAACTAATTTTTTAAACATAAAAACTTTAAAAATAAATAAAAATAGATCAAACAACATTAAAAAATATAAAACAAATATGGAGGCCTATCCCACAACTTCGGCTACCTCCCTGCCGTGCCAACTCCGATTGGAGAAAATTGTCAATTTGTGTAAAACATAAATGTCACTTTTTCTTTGTAAATGTCTTGAATATGACATTTTTACTATTTGAAAATGACATTTTGTTTTTCAAAAAATTGCCATCAAGATGGCATTACTAACGCATGGTTTCTTTTTTTCAATGGTCGAAGTTGATGGTGCTGGGAGGTTGTTGAGGCAGCTGGGAGGTCTTCTTGACTCTTGCTTTGATGCCACATGTTGAATAGTTTCAATGTATTAACATTTCCAACGATCTTTTATAATCAAATCAAACACAATAAAATTAACAAGTAAGAGATGTAATTTACTTACTTGAAAAAATGTTATCTTGTCCGTTGACGAAGCCATGATACCCATTATGATGCCTTATTAGTGATGGAGTGTTGATCTATGATATTGATCAATTAATTGATTCATATCCCAATGAAGTGTTATTGTGTTATTTATAAGCCTCTAGGAACATGAGTGAAGGGGCATGAATTAATGAGTGTGTCCTTTCGTGTGAATATGAGAGAAGGGACACCGAATGAATAATCATGTCTCTCTATCTATTTTAATTAATAGTCATCTAATGGGAAATTCATTATCCCCTTTTAATAATTACAATTACTTCTATCAAGTAACATTTAGGTAAGACGATGACATATTATGTCATATTGGTATAATTACTATTAAAATAGTAATAATTAAATAATTATTATAAATGGAGTCCTAAGGCCACATATAAATTGGAAAAATATTCCAACATTCTCCCACTTGGCCGAGTGACCATTTATGATGAGTATTGATAAGTTTGGCCAAAGTTAATACCCATCAAATTTCATATTAAAGTCATAGCAAAAAGATACAATCATAGTGTTTTTATACCAAAGGTTGGAATGGAAAGGGAATAAGAAAATTTCTATCAGGGATTGCGAGGGTAGTAACTTTGATGGAGGAATTTGCAGCGAAAGGGATGCCACATGATTTGGTGGACTTTACTCCTTGTTTGAGTGGCGATTATCACTACCATAATGATTTTTCTATTTCAGGCTCATTATTACAAGTTGACATAGACCACTCTGCCACAGTTGAGACACCACCAACATTGGACACTATCGAACACCACAATAACTCATCACCCAAACTTGATATCGCGACCATTAATGATCTCTTTCAGGCTCATTATTACAAGTTGACATAGACCACTCTGCCAAAGTTGAGACACCACCAACATTGGACATTGAACGTATTGTTACCGACTGTTTGGGAAATCGGGACTCCATGGATAAGGAAGTGGCTCAAATAGCCAATCCTGAGGTAAATTTTTCGATTGATGCAACAGTTACATGTAATGATTGCTCTAAAGGGTGTGATTGTGAGGATGTTTTTAGTGAGAAATTTTTATTATGCTCGGGAGATGAATGTCTTGGACATGCTTCAGAGAGAGAGAAGAGAACACCCATCTCAACGATCGAGGACTTGTGTGATTCTGATACAAATGCGGACATGTGTAATAAGGCTCGTTTTGTCATTAAGGAAAATTGCTTGCCAACACAGAATCTCAATACGCAAATCATAATTTACAGGAAGAAACATCAGCGTTCGCATCACATGAGAACGAGATCTCAATCACATACAGAGTTCTGATTACTTTTGGAACTCAATCTTTATAAAGAGAGGGTTTTTCAAATGCGTTTGGGTTGGGTTTTTAGTTTTTCTCTCTCTTTTCCCCTTCCTTTTTTCCCCTTTTCATTGTACTCATTTTCTTGATCCTTCAATAAAACTTTCCTTTTCAAAATAATAATAATAATAATAATAATAATAATAATCAACACAAGACCCCCCATCAATTATACTAAAACTTCAATACGAAACACATAGAAAATTTCATGCCAAAATGGCGGATATCTACAATACTAAATTGTATATATTTGTATATAGATCAATAAGTGCATGCATACATTAGTATAAACAACATACTTAAGACATTTGAGGAAGTTTTTAATGATATGCTTTCATATAAGATCTCTAGTAAAACTCATCTTCACTACAAGCTCTTGGAAGACTTTTGGGTGGTAGACCTTTCGTCATTGGATCCACAAGCATATCATGAGTGCTAATGTACCCGACACAAAGGATAATTTCCTCTACTCGTTCACATAAAAACAAGAACTTTGTGTCAAAATATAATTCCGCACCACTCGAACTTTTCTTGATCGAAAAATTAATGGCTATGGAATTATCACATTATATCTTCAATAGTCTCGATATGGAGTTCATGACTTTGAGTCCACTAATTAGGTTTCTCAATAACATTCCATGGTAAGTTACATAATAGACTGCAACGTATTCTGCCATCATGGTTGAGGTCGTTGTCAGTTTCTGCATATGACT